AGGAGGGAATGTAGGACGCCTCTTGGTCGTTCTTCGCCTTGCTTGTGTCCCGGGAAGGAAACATAGAATTGCGCAAACATATGGCAAGGTGGCAAGGCCATCTTCTTTATATCTGCGGGATTCCATGCACTTAGTATGATGCGCCGGTCGTAGGGCTTGTTCTTCAACTTGTCGATTATCTCAGCGAGTTGGTCGACACCTTGGCCTGTGTAATCCTCTGCATGTCCCTTGTACTCGGCGCCAAAATGCCGCCACTGGAAGCCGTATACTGGGCCCAGTTCGCCTTCCTCGTAGTGGTTTAGGCCCACCTTGTCGAGGTACTCCCGACTGCCGTTGCCGTCCCAGATCTTGATACCAGCGTCCGAGAGAGACTTGCTGTGTGTGCTGCCTGCGACAAACCATAGCAACTCGCCAATTACGGCACGAGTGAATACTCTTTTCGTTGTGAGGAGGGGCAGGATGAGTTCTGGTGGCTGTGTGGGGTTGCTCGAAGGTCGCGATAATGCGAACTTCATTTGTGCGGGAAAGGGAATTGCGCGTGTGCCGGTTCCTGTCCTGTCTGGACGATGCTCGCCATTTTCGAGTATATCGCGGATCAGAGAGAGGTATTGATGCTCCTCGTGCGCGGGGTTGCTGGGTGGCGGTGTACTTTGCTTCGTGGTGTCTTGGGGAGGCTCGGGAGTTATGACGGGTTCTAGCGCGCTCGGAGGCATTTTTACTGCGGATCGGAGACTTGAATGTATGTACTTGGGTGCTGTGGTGTAACGTCAAAGTGAAAGTCGCGAGGCGCGTCAGGGTCTCCCAAAACCGCGACTGCGCAAGTGGCTCTTGCGGCTCACCGTATCGAATGCTCCCGACCTAACTGCATTCGCATCTGCCACAAAACACCAACACTGGAACACACTTTCTGATAGAATGGCCGAAGAACAAGCAGCTCATCATTTGCTAAATGTAGTCGAAGAGCGAGGTCTCAAAGTCGATCTCGATAACATTCTCCTAGGTTTCGAGGATGTGAAGACCAAGCACGAAGCTGCGGTGTGGGTTGAGGAGTACCTACACGAGGACACCCTGCTCAGTAAAGAGGAGCTAGAATTGTGAGTCCAAACTCTGATTATACGGGCTTTTGCTGACTGAGTCTAGGTACCAGACTCTCAAGAAGAAGGGCCTTTTGCACCAGTACGAAAGCGAGGGTGAACCCATCCGACCCATTTTGGATCATGAAATTGCTGCAGCAGTTGAATCATTGAGAAGCTCCACTACTGCGATTGAAGAGCAGTCCAAAGTTTTGGAGGCACAGAAAGATGCTCTGATGAAGTTGAAAGCTCTTGACAAGCCCAATTTGGATGTCGAACATGCAAGAAACGAGCGGAGAAGGAAGGAAGGACAAGAAAAAACTCGTCTAGACGTCTCTGTATGTTGAGAAAGATTACAAACTCAACTTTTCTAACACGCATAGGTCGATGATGTAGTTGCATCCGTCACAGAGCAGATGGACGATGCTCAGCGCGAGATTGATTCTGACAAGTCAACACTGAAAAGCTACCTCTCAGAACGCTTCACGTCAGACGATCAGATCCTAAGCCGACTCCCTAAGCTAGTGTCTCAGATTGTCACTGAGCCTGAAGTCAGCGAAGACGAGAAGTCGATGGAGCAGTGGTGCAAGGCGATTATATCCTTTCGTGCTGCAGAGATCAAAGCTCGAGTGGATACTGTGTTTCTCACCAACGCATTAGCAGACTCCCAGAACGGTCTTTCGGAGGAAGCAGAGGCCAATCTTAAAGAGAGAAAGGTCGCCCTGCAAGCTGAACTGGAAGAGTTACACTCTGAAATTGCATCTGTCGCTGAAATGGTTGTCGAGCATGAGATACGCAAGCCAATGACTGAAATGAAGGAGCGTAAAGATAGAGACAGAACACAAGCACGAACTGCGTGGCTCAACTATGTGAGTAACATCCCAAGAGACATTGGACTGTTGCTAACAAGCCAGGTGCTCTCAACACTAGAATACATGGGCAAACGTCTCAGCATAATCAACACTGGCACGCAAGATACTGACGAGTTCCAACAAGCACTGGCGCACGTCCAGGCAGCAGCAGCGAAGCGCACACCAGAGACACAGGCACTGGTTGCGACACCCGGATTGAAACGCATGAACTCCAGCACCTCGGCTTTTACTCCCATGGTCAAGCTCAAGCCTACATCGACGCTTGAGCTTCCGGTAGCACTTCAAGATGCGCTTCGTCACGCAGGCATATCTTTCAGTCAGGATAACATCGAAAGCCTACAAGATGTTCTGCAGCAAGCTCAACTTGAGCGGGGCAAGAAGCTTCAAGATCACTATGAATCTACTGCGACATCGATTCATGACGGACTCGCTGAGCGATCCAGCAAAGCAGACACAGATCTGAGAGCTATTTTGAGCGCGCTATATAAGCACGCGCCATTCCAGCAGGCTAGCTTGATGAACCCAGAGTTGGACGAGCAACTGAAGGCGATGGAGCTTGAGCTTGAGAACAAGGACCGAGAGTTGCTGGATGCAGAAGGTAGCGAACTAAGCTTGAGCGACCCTAAAGTTCGTGCGTTCATCGGGAAATACGGTAAATAAAGCGAAGGTTTTGACAAGCAGGTTTCAGGGCTGGTCGGTGCGTTGTCGCGGTGGAGCTGACAAGTCGAGCTGGGATGATCCAGGCGCGTATCAAAGATGGAGTAAACACGACGTGGAGATGTTGTTTAGATGTTGTTTACAGCGCCGAGAAAGCTCTCTTGATACAAGGTCAAAGTGTCTCTCTTCACCGCTTTGGATCTGCTTGGTGAACATGATCAGCTCGTCGGTTGCAAGCGATGGAAGCCACATGTTCGCGGGTGGAGCTATGGGGGAGGAAGGACCTCGGACTGGTCGCGAGGAGTGATGAGCTGCAGCTAGTCGGCCCCCATGTGGCTAGCACCCAGCCCCCGAATAACACTAAACATCATCGGCCCCTGTCAAGGCTGCCCTGAGTAGCTGACGGACAACAACTCTGCTCTCCTCACAAACTCACCAAAGCGTCTATCCCCACTTTCGCAGCCGGTTGAACCTGCGCGGGATGCTCGCGCCAGGTACAGGCAGAGACGCAGGCCCTCATTCACTCAATTGAACCATCACCATCACCTTGCCGGTAGCTCCCTGGAGCTATCCTCACACCGCCCGTCATGGTTAAAGGAGAGATTCTCACTCTCGGTGCTGCCGCTGGTGCCCTTGGAGGTGCTTACAAGCTTGCCGAATTCCTCAACAAGGCCAAACGCGTCCGCGACGTCGGTCCTTCCAATGCAGTCTATGTGCGCATCATTGGCCGCGTCCAATCCGACCTTGATGAAGTGAGACGTCTTCTCTCCATCCGCGAGATCCACGACATCCTCGAAGCCAATCCTGAGAAGTCCAAATGGGTCTACGGATGCATGCGCGATGTGCGCGGCGCCCTCGAGAACATCACGCCGCACACAGAGCGCGTCGCTGGCGATATCCAGGACGGTCGCCGTATCGGTGTCAGGCACCGCGTCTACTGGCTGCTCAGCGAGAAGGAGAAGCTGGAGAACAGAGAGAAGGAGCTCAACATCGCGCAAGCCAGTCTCAGCGCGGTGCTCGGCTACTTGACTGCTCTGGAGCCGTACGAGGAGCCGCATAAGCCCAAGTCCAAGAAGGAAACTCATATCGACATCGACATCCACCAGGAACCTCCCCAGCCTCAGGCCCAGCCTCAGCCTCAGCCCCAGCCGACGCACACGACGCACATCGACCGGGAAGTCTGGGTCGAGCGTGACGGTGCGCCGCCTCGTCATGTAGAGGAACACCGCGATGTCTGGGTTGAGCGCGACCGTCATCCTGCAGCCCACTACGAGGAGCGTCGCGACGTGTACATTGATGAGCGCGAGCGCGGACCTCAACACTACGACGACCGCGGTCCTGCTCCCCGTTACGACGCTCACTTTGAACACCAAGGCCGCGATGCTCGTTACGAGACTCAGTATGACGAGCGCTTCGAGCAGCAAGACCACTACCGCTCGCAGTACCCTATTGAGACCCAAGGCAACTACAACCAGACCCGTCCCTTCCCTGAGCCCCTCGGCCGCCGCCCTGAATCGTTCGAGGACCGTCTTCCTGAGCGCGACTCCTGGATGCAGAGCAATGCGCGCGCCAACCAACGCCCAGGTCAGTACGCCCCCCGTGGGTACGCCGAGTACGGTGCACCGCAACCCATCGGCGCAGCCCATTATTCGCGTAGGTTTCAAGGAGACGCGGGCTTTGGCGACGAAGAAATACTAAATCCACAACCAGTGCCGTTGGACAGGCAGTACGCCGAACGTGAGGTGAGTGGTTACAACACTGGCTACCCGCCCCGTTACGGTAGCAAGCTCTAGATGTTAGCATGAGGCTGACATGCGGGCAGATGTGGATCGAACAAAAGGAGGATTACCGGTTCGATCAGTACGGAAATAGGCTGCCGGATAGGCTTTTCCAGCCGGCTGTGCCTAGGCCCTATCGCAGCCGCATGTAAACTGCAATACCTCTTGGATACGATTAATCTCCTTTTCACTGTCACGAGCCTTTTTGTTTTTTGTTACCCCCCGCGTCCGATGTTTCTATGTAGCTGCAAATTCAAGTTGATACCTCCCTACCAATCGCTCTTCCCTCGTTTACTTACCACGTGGCTCGTTGATCACTGAACAACTATCGTCGCTTCCTCTCGAAAATGCGACACCCTACAATTGTATCGAGCATGTGACCCAGACACATCTCTCCTAAAAGAGGGAATCGCATCATGGACCCCCCTCGCTCCCGACCTTGCACCCACGGTACTCATCGAACCGCTACCAGATAACAATACGACCCTGAGAATCTGGGAGCCTGCCACTGCCCTTGAAGCATTCCTGCTCTCCTGCCATCGTCGTTCATCACCCTTTCCAGTATTCACGACATTGACCTGTAACTACACAACACCGTACAGACATCCATCCCGACAAGTATGGCACGAACTACCTCGTGGGAGAAGACACGATCATGCTTCTTCATGTTCGTTGGCGCAAAATCCACACGCTGGCCTAACAGCACCAGATCCGCAACCGGTGCACTCCTTGCTCTGTCTATACTCATCGCTGTAGCACAGTTCGGTCTCTGCGCCGCCATGGCGCACTGGTTGCTTAGCTCACACCGCGAGGTTCAGTGCTGGAACGTGAGCAGCACGAGAGATCTGGACTTCAACGCCTTTAAGCTAGAGTCCAGACCATCAGAATTCGTATTCCAGACAGAGACCAAGAGCTTGCCACTTACCTATGCAAACTTGGACAAGACCTTCAACGTGGAGAGAGCTCAAGAGAACGGAGAAGGTCTGTCAGGGCCTGAGTATCTGAGTGCTGGAGCCATTGGTGGGACATTGTAGGTTGTCTTGTTCATCTGTTCTACTGCTATAGGCACGAAGAGATGCTAATCGATGTCTCCATAGTACAATCATCGCGATCCTTGTTTTCAACCCTCTGTTGCTGGTTATTGACCTTTTGCTCCTGCTTCGAAGCCACTACCGGTCCGCGAGAATCTCCAACCGTGCTGGCATGCTCTGGTCTATGTGTTTCTCGATTTATTTCCCCCTGGTTACTCTAGGTGCTGTTTGGCTAGATAGCTTTCCTAGCAACACAATCGACGACAGCTACGATACGTGCTGGCAATATGACAAGACAATGAATGTGTTGGAAGGGCGGAGCCGATGGGCAAAGGGTATCGTACGAGGATGTGAGATCTTGGGAATGCTGGGAGCGTTATGGTAAGTCCGAAACACTACGTGGACTCGAACCACTAGGACCTCAGCTTACCAGCAGCAGCATGGTTGCCTACTTCGCATTCGCTCTCTTTGCCGCGTACATGAATCAACGAGCCGATGCGCAACAGTCAATCAGACTAGACGATCTTAGTAACCCTTCGTCCACTACCCACACTGACAACCACCGTGATCTACCATCTGCTGGCCTCGGCACTCGGGCAGGCCCCATCCGGATGAACAACTTCGGCATCACGTTCATAGATGCTACCCCAGGCTCAGACAGCCAGTCCAGAACTGAAAGGTGCCGGCAAAGGCCGTGTGAGGATCAAGAAATTCTGACAAATCCCTTCGCAGATCCTGAAGACCCGTATAGAGGCGGGGTGGGGAGTCAGAGGTCAGACAGTGGAGATAAACAACCGTGAAAAAGTGCTGCTCGACAAGCAGGCAGCGGGGATAGGTATTCATCAGTCCCTCAATTGCTCGGCACACTCATTGTAGATTCGGTCCTGTAGCTAAGACGTATATGATGAACTATAGATTTCATTGGCCACACTACAAGCGCTTCCAAATGTTCAGCTTCTTCCACAGTCCGACGATATGTCTCCTCTTCATAACAGCCAGGCTGACTAACGAGTGACTAATTGTTGCATTGGAGTACTCGAACAATAGGGAAATGCGCTAATTAATTGCTCGTCGGCGCGTACAAGAGCGACGCTACCTTCTCGGCAAAACTGGCGTGAAAGAGACTTGAACAACGATGGAGTCGTCTGGTACTGAACAAAGGAATCAGCCAGTTGCTCTCTTATGTCTTTGTCACTCGCATCAATTCCTCTTTTTACTCGTCTCTGGCTTTGTTCATTGATTTGGAGGAGATGGTACATATGATTCCAGGGTGCAACTTGCATTTGTGGCCGTCCACAGCCCTTCCAAATCTCAAGGCCTTATCTTCCAATAGCAAACAACAAGGTGTCAGTCATGTCTAGCGACAACGGTCAACGCCCTCCAACCGCCGGAAACACTGGCAGAGATGACCCACCACCCGCTTCGCGCCCGTTAGAAAACAGGGAAGATATTATCAACAAATGGCTCAAAGATAACTACATCCACTACAATCATCTGGGAAACCCTCTTGCGCTCAAAGTAGATGAATTCATCAAAATTGTTGCAACTCAATCTACGGACCCTGACAATAGTTGGCTAGACAACAATGCACTGGAACTGGCTGCAGTCATTTTGACGATTGAACTGAAAAAACGAAGCGATATAGTCATCGTGCCATCAAGCGCCGCCATCAGCCTGGCCCGCATCGGTCAGTGTATGTGCGGCAAGGATGAGTTTGAGAAAGGTGTTCTTTCGACCGGATGTTATGCTGCTATGAAGAAAGAGAACGTACGATGGATCGTTGTTCCCGTGACGGACGGTATGATTAGCAGAGACGAAAGCTCAATACCCTGCGGCGGTAGACATTGGGGCTTCATGATAATTGACAAGCAGAGAAATGATGCCAGATGGTTAGACGGCCATGTGACACTTGAGAAGAACCGCAAGGGCAAGTGGCGTATAACAAAAATGTATGGTGCAGGATGGGTTGCTGGTAAGATTCTCTGTGGATACGAAAAAGTTATGGATCTCAAGCGAGGGCAATTCACAGCAGCAACACTCAAACATGTCCCTAATGACACCAAAGAAAATAGCTATAAGTTCGATAAAGGCTCAGCGTGTGGACCATGGGTGTTCGCTATGCTTGAATATATACTCGATCACCCGAATTTTCTCACATGCGCGGATGGACTCTACGGCATATTTAGGCACAAAGACAGGCAGAAGCACAGGAGAGCCATGGCCTTTGACTCATTAGCATCGCGCAAGCGCATACAGGAGATTATTCGGGGCGTGGCGGAGAGCAACCTAGGAGATGATGTATTGCCGTACAGGATGAGTACGCGCATTTTGAAGATTCTCAACTATCCTAGCACTGTCGATCTGTTGGTTGGAATCGCTGACTTTAGTCGAAACAAGACACCTCCACCTGAACGTGGCCATAACGGAAATTCGGAGAAGAGGCTTGATGACGATGACGATGATAGCGACGATGATAGCGACGATGATAGCGACGATGATAGCGACGATGATAGCGACGATGATAGCGACGATGATAGCGACGATGATAGCGACGATGATAGCGACTATGATAGAGAAAACAGTGATGAAGCGAACGAAGATCTGCAAAAGGCAATTCAAGAAAGTTTCCGTTCTAACAAAAAGAATTCGGCACAAGGACCTCAAGGAACCCAGGGTCCTACGAAGTCAAGGGAACCTTCAGAGCCTCCAAGGGAACCTTCAGAGCCTCCAAGTGAACCGACTACCTTTCAATCATCCACCTTCAACCTCAGTACACACGGACCCATGCTTGCCGCTGATATCCCAAACTTCGAGCCTATGGAAAGCAATAAGATTAAGGAGTGGAGGGATCTGCTTCCGTCCAACCTTAATCATCTTGTGAGCCAGATGAACATATGGGGCCAGAAAGCTGTTCTCCAAAAGACTTTCGGTGGCTTCGGTAAATTAACCCGACGTCAAAAGCGGTCTTGGCGGGAAAGCCATCCACTGTTCAAGGGCATTGGAAAGGTGGAAATCGAAAATGTAGCTGAAGTGCTGATGGAGAGCGTCAAAAATATTAGTGACGTCTCGCTACAGGGGAGTGTAATGTATTATCCTCAGAGCTACCTGAAAGACTTTGCAGCGCAACGCCCAGTAGACGCAGCAACATTAGAAGCGGGTACGAGGCCTGCGGGAGACAACTTGTATGATGATAGTGACATCTTTGATTACGACGACGAGGCCGAAGAAAACGATTCGATCCCACCACAACCTAAAAAACCAAGTGAGCAACCATCAGGTGTGGATACTTCTATTAAGCGGAAGTATGTAAAGGACAACGCCGATGCGCCCGCAGCGAAAAGACTTAAGTCGTCAAGACCAGACTTTCTCACAATGAAAGATCACGAGCTACCTCTTTGGCTTGCGAGCGTACCTGAAGAGAAGAAAGCTCCGCTGCTTGACTCTGGAAGGAAGTTGATTGATCCAATCCGTGCACGAATTCACCTCGAGGGCATATTCAACGGTACATTCCGAGAATGGGCGGCCGAGGAGTCTTTTTCTGAGGTAAGCAAGGAAGAGATCAAGGAATGGAGAAAGATGGTAGACGGTGAAAAGGGTTTTATTAAAAGTTTGTACCGTAGCGACGATGCAGGCCTGAGAAAATTTCTGAACAAGAAACTGTACCCACTGGAAATGACAGATCTGCCGGATTATAGCCAGGACGAGACGAAATGGCCTGAGCATTGGAGGAAAGGAAAGGAGTAAAGGCGCTGGGAAGTGATAGAGCAGTTTGCTTGTTTCTCTTTCTTTCGATGCACACAAAGATGATATCAGGCTTCATATGTATAGTAGCTTGTACAAAATTGTAAGATAATAACGAACTTGTTGGTCGTTTTCGGTTTGATTGAGACCTAAACATGTGATGGCTCACAAGCTGCTCTGTAGTGGTGAGATGAAAGACTCGTGTACACCTATGCTAAAGATGTGTTGAAGCCACTTCTTATCATCTAGGTGTGATCAGACTCTCACTCACGGCATCTGGGAGTATAGCAAACTTACCTTTTGCGGCAACATGCCAAGAAGACGATAACTTGTCTTGGTTTCCTGTCCTGTTTTTGGGCGCGAATGAGAAGGCCTGTTCAGGACTTCACTTCTCGACGGGCGTGATCTTGGGTAGCGCGTCCCGCAGCTCTTCCCTATCCTTATCGGTCGGGACAAGGCCAAATTTCTCTTCAGCCCTGTCGGATATGTATAGACCAGCGCCCGCGTAGGCCATGACGCCCACGCCGATTATCATGCGCGTCTTGGGCGGTATGCCCTTGAACCATCTATGTGAGTGTTAGTCGTATAAAATTACACGATCATAACGTGCACGTACTGCCAGACAGACATGTCAAGGATGAGAATGTGCAACTGCGCTGCAGTGGTGTCACAGAGTTCGGGATGACGACGCATAGAGGGTCAGTGCCAAGCCTAGAGGAACTCTCAGACTCCAGCGCGACACAACCATATCGTTCCCATGCACCTAGCGCATCTTGAAATCACGATCAACCATATAGAAAAGCCTGTATTCTCCTCCCACGCGCAGGTCGTTCCTTTGGAGCCAAGCCTGGCATGATAGCTTGGGACGTTGGACATCGATTGCCGCACCTCCGCACCAGCTCCGCACCTTGAGAACAGATGTGCGCGCTATTACCACCCGCTTCTTGAGCGCATCCGGCAGCACCATAAGGCTCCTACCACTCTCCAACTATGCCCGGCTTCCGCCGCTGGGGCAAGTCGAAATTCGAGCGCAATCCCGAGTCGTCGTTCAAGCTCCTCGCAGCCATCATCGTCATCACACTGTACCTCCTCATCAAAGAGTTCCAGAACCCGACTGTTCGAGACAGGGGTATACCGGCGTTTGGGGCACAGATCCAGCATGCAGACTGGAATGGAACAGGCAAGGCGGAAGAGGCACGGGCGAAGAGCGTGCGGGATGCCATGAAATATACCTTCTGGAAGTACAAGGAGAACGCCTGGGGCTGTGACGACATTCTCCCTGTGTCGGGAGGCAATTCCTCGTCCAGAAATGGGTGGGGTGCTTTCATTGTGGACTCGGCGAGCACCTTGGCCCTGATGGGACTATGGGACGAGCTGGCGCATTCTTTGGAGCATATACTGGCTATCGACTTCACCGAAGCGAAGGACCTCGTCGACCCTTTTGAAACCACAATACGATACTTGGGCGGGCTCTTGTCTATTGTGGACATGTACGACGTTGGGCTCATCCCGGAGGATATACTGAGCGAAGAGGCACGCGACCTTGTACTCGAGCATGCTGTCACTCTAGCAGGGAAGCTTGCCCCAGCATACGATACTCCCACAGGCATGCCGTGGCCTCGTGTCGACTTCGACACAGAACAGGGCGAACCAGACCCTTCTTGGGTCTTCAGCGACGACCCAACAAAACACGGCTACGACGAGCATCCCGCCATAGGCCCTGCGCGGACCGGCTCCTCCATACTCGAGAACCGCATCCTGACCAGATTAACTGGCGACCCCATTTATACGCAGAACTCGACAAATGCATGGGCACCCCTTGTGTGGTCCAACTGGAAGACACCATGGCCTGGTATGGTCGATGCGCCCATCGATATCATGACAGGAGAGCCAGTGGGTCGCCAAAGGCACTGGGACGGGGGACATGATTCCTACTACGAATACCTTGTCAAGATGACACTCTTGGCCCCTCGGACAGATCCTCATATCGGCACATACAAGCGACGCTTTACCGACGCAGCCTACTCCCTACGCAAGCATCTCAGTTCCCGGTCCGCACCTGCACCTGATCACTACATGCAGCACTTGTACATTGGGCGCCATAACGACAAGCTGTACGAGAATCAGCAAGGACACCTCGCCTGCTTCGCACCCGGTACTATTCTCCTCGCCTCCCGACTTTACGACCAACCCTACCTCCGAACCTTCGCGCTCGCGCTCCTCGAGGGCTGCCGCCACTCGTATGCCTCTACACCTACGAAGATCGGTCCTGAGACCTGGGCCTGGATACCCAAGTTCGGATACGACGATCCGCACTTTGTCCCAGAAACCGCACGTCAAGAGCGAGAGGCCATGAAGAGCGGCATCTGGTCGCTGGAACCAGCATACAAAGGCCGGCCCGAGTATGTGGAAAGTCTCTTCTACGCATGGCGCATAACGGGCGATCAACGGTACCGTGAATGGGCCTGGGAAGCCTTCTCAGCTATGGAGAAGCATTGCAAAGCGCCATTCGGCTACGCACAACTTGCCGACGTGTACGATACGCATACGAAGGGCGAGGATAGATGGGTAGACATGCAAGAGAGCTTCTGGGCAGCGGAAACGTTAAAGTACCTCTGGCTCACATTCTCGGACGTTGAGGTTGCAAGCTTAGATAGCTGGGTGTTCAGTACTGAAGGCCATCCGTTCCGCATGATACGGTAAGATACGTCGTAACGGCACACTTTGGAACAAGAGAGTAGGGTTGTAGCATATTCATCAGGACAAAGGCGACAAAACAAGGCATAGAAGGCCACGGGAGCCTCCAACAGGTGAAGGGGGCAGTTCAAAAATAGAGCGCTGTCAAAGCAGCGACAGCAATGGCGCAATGATACCCTGAGTCAGATTCGCATCAATAAAAAGGTTAAGAACATTACAAGCTCCGTTTGCTTCCTAACCATCTCTCTTATCTCCCGCAGCCTGTCGCTTTGCTGGCTCATGGCACCCATCTTCAAACTTCAGTTGTTGACTGTTTATTGCACTTGTACGTACTGTCCAAGCTGTTCTCAATCAAAAGTAAAGTGAGACCTAGTACAGTTGGGTAGTACGAACGGTCGAGTGTTGAGGACATTCAATACAGACATCTGTCAGGAAGAGTAATTTTGAGCAAAGGTATGACAGCAAAGGACATCGCGTAGCTGTGTTTATAGGCAACATGCCCCTTCCTGGCGAGAACAAGATGTTTCTACCAGATAGCTGAGGTTGACAGTGGGGAAAGATTTCCTCCAACTTTCAGCGTCTTGTAGCTCTTAAAATCGATTTCAGAGGTGTATTCGGCCAGTGTATATGCAAACTACACTTTTGCGATAATAAAGAAAGAAAAGGGGAGACAGGTATACTCATGTACTGTATATGGTAGAGAACTTCAGTTCTCGTCTGCAACTGAAAAATACGCGTCAGGAGTGGGTGCAAATGATTAAAGGAACATTATGATGAGTTTTGCCTTCGAATGTAGATCAAGATGGGAACTGTGAACGTGTGGTTCAAGACCGTCGTTTTCTCTTATATTCTGCTTTACGTTGTCTTCATCGTGTGCGGCACTGATATCCAAATATCACTACTCGTCAATATAAAAACATCTTCAGCAATTTTCCGTCTCCGCAATTCGAATCTTCTTCGCTAAATTCGATTCATAGTGCGGTGAAGCAACTAGTTATCCTAACTTTGAGAGTGTTCACGCTTGCTGGTCCAGCTGATGCATTCTAAACACGTGCAGCTCAGTTTCTGGTGACTAATGAACATCTCGTATACTTCACGCGCACTTCTAGGAGAACGCCATTAGAGAAAAATCTTGATATAACGACAAATAATTCTGATAAACATGGAAGAAAGCTCAGCAGTAATGGCATCAACCACCACCACCGCCACCATCGCCGCCACCAGCACCACCATATCCTCCGCTGTCACCACCAGCACCACCATAAAGAGCCCAGCCGGAATGAGTTCCACCGCATCTCGAGCTCGGCCTCACCACTTCCATAACTTTGGCATGTGCTTGCTTTTTGATGTTGGTCATCGTATGCGTAGGGCCACGAGATTTTGCTAGCTTCATCGAGTCGCCGCTTCCACTGCGTTCTGCTCCAATAGATTTGCTCGACATACAGCCCATTACTGACGATCGCCGTGGTTTTCTACTCAGATTGACGCTTTGTCGAACCGGCCTAACCTAGATAAGTGATTATATAGGGTGAATAGGCGATACAGCTATACGCACAAGAAGTAAGCGGTGACTGGTGAGCTTGAATAGTGAGCTTGCTATCGACGAAGCGATCGCTGACCAGAAGTATCTACACGAAAGAACTGGGTCATGACTACTGATGGCATGCTATCATATATCATCTCCACGTCGAATACAGCTGGGGAGCCTGGGCTGATTCCAGGAGCACAGAAGGTCTTGTGACGACGCCTGTGGCTTGCGCCTATCTGTTATCGCGTAAAGTTTTACGCAGCAAAAATTGGCTGCAACTCGGGTCCCGACTTTTGACAATAAGAAACTGCACACACTTTGAATACTGGAACCATATATTTGAGGCGGTAATTGATGCTGGGGATATAAACGATAGAACAAGAGATGTAAAAGCGAAAGCAGACTATCGCTAAGATCAAAGCGGAAATAAACCGCGCTGGAACCACGAACTACGGAAGAATTTCGGGACACCATCTGGATGCAGTAATCGGAGGCGTACAAATAGGCTTTCTGTGGGTTTTGTCCGAAAGTCTGCCCTGTGACGTGCAGCAGACTGGGCCTCGGCACGGACGGACATTGGACGCGACCACCGAGACGGAGCCATTGGCTAGTCAACAATGCCCGATCGTCCGGTCTGGAGGATATGCCTCCGAAGAGAGGCCGCATGATGTGTGCGGCGTTTGATGCATGATAGGAAGTCCGGTGAGACGGCGAGGATACATGCAAGCGCAATCGGCGCTGATTGGTGCCGAGTCGGGATGATGGAAATAAATGTTTCGTACCCAGTGCCAGACCTCCATACGCGAGGGCACAAGGCTTTTGATATACCTTGGTTCAGACCGCACCCATGAGAAACTTCCAGTGGAAATCGCTACTGGTGATGTCGAGCGAAGGAGTTACGTCCCGCAAGCTCGGCAGCTTTTCCACCCCATTGGTAGAGCCATTGCCATTAATCTTAGGAAGAGCTAGGTTATGGAGCAGGGAGACAGTCCGTCCTGAGCAAGTCGCAAGTTCAAACGTATTGCCGTTTGGGCTTCCCCTGCCAACTGCATCGTGTAATGCTAGTCTCATCACCGATGTGATACGTCGAAACCGCTCAAACGCGTCTTCATGAGCGTCCTGGGCATCGCGAGGGCGAGGCATTTGCGAAGATAATTGTTCGCGGAAATAGTCGAACGACTTTGCGATCTGCAGTTCACCAGCATCCCAGCCCGGCATGGGTGAAGCATGAATTGCCAGCTTGTTCAAGCTAGTGATGGTGTTTATCAAGTTCAGCCAATCGATCAACGATACTGAATCGAAATGCTTGGTTGGAAGCTTTGTGCTGTTGTCGAGGAACTGTTCAGTCGACCGCACCAAGGTAACGCGTAGTGATAACTGGAAGCCTGAAGCCCAGGGTGTACTATCGCGATCCACGAGATCAATGGAAGCAGCGGTCCGATACAGATGTATGCGTGCTGCAAGCTGTAGCCATTGCAATATTGCTAGCGATGAATCAGTAACTATGCATCCTATCGTGGCATGGTTACTTACTGAAGTCATTTGCTTGCAGTTTGGACGCAAGACGGATGTTGTCCCATTTGTCACTCAATCGTTTGACCTGAGTACGAACCACGACCGCTTGCTCAGATTGATTACGAAAAGTCTCCTCCACGTCTTCCATGTATTGGCAGACATCAGTCAGTATTGGAAGCACCGCGTCCGACGTGTTCTCCCAGGAAGAAGCTAGTTCTGACGCGTAGTTCCGGAGTGTACTGGTATGCGACATAGCCCTTGCCTTTCCGGGCTCCATCAGACCTAGGTTGGAAGACAGGTAGTAGCATCCCAAATAGGCACGCTTGGCTTCCCTATCTCTTGGGTTTTCCTTTTGTAGAGGACTCCTCACAGTCCTGGATATGCTGTCTAAGCCTAAGTCGTGTGCTATACCCAAGCACAGCTGAAGGAGCATAGTGATTGAAACAGCCTGGACGTCCATGTAGTGGTGATGCCAAGCTATGAAGACCAAGAGTCCTTGCAGAAGGTCTAGAGTCTTTTCACCTTTCATAATCCGGACCATAACCACCTTGCGGAACTCCAGGCTCAGTGCTCTCTGAAGCGAGACGGAATCATAAGAGGAAACTGTCAGCACGGCAAACATCAACATTGGCCGGCTCTGAAAGAGATCCTGGCAGCGGCATTCTCTTGGTAATGATACGAAGGGGAAGAAGTCGACCATGTTACGGTACGTATCCAGCAGCATCTGCATATGCACTAAGCTGATGGATCTGATGACAGGATCCAGTCGACCAAGGTAAGACAACGTATCGTTCATCGAATCCCAGAATGGCGCAGAAGTCTCAGATTGATTCGCGTGAGCCGGAAGAATGGAAGTTCTGGGGGCCGACGACATGGACACAGGCTGAGCGGCAATTGGTGTTGGCGTCGGCATTTGCTGTGAGGAATCTAACAGCTGCGAAGGGATTGTAGCCACCGAGGGGAGACTACACTGCGTTGGAGTGGGTGCCATTGTTGCAACGATAGCAGATAACTTGTCCAACTTCTTGTCGAAGTCGCGCAGTTTGGTGGGTGTTTGGCCATCGCTGCGCGCCTTTGCTGGCCGTCTGCGCGCAACATGTTCCACACATTCGACTCTGGCCTTTTGGCATCTGGGGCACGTGTCATTCGATGTGGAGCAGAAATACAGTTGGGTAAACAAACCTCTGGCAAATGGCGGGCGTGTCAGATGGGACGCAGCGAACCTTGTGCTTTCGACAGCGCTCGCACGCAAAGGCGTTTCCTATTCTTCCTTCTTTTGCGTCCATGGCGGGGACTGAATTGGCAGTCCTAGGAGAAGGAGAGCCATCGGCCTCCGGCTGTGCGCTCATGTGGGGAAGTCCGATCATGTGGTGTGCCAAGTCCGGGGTCGAGCTTCGGTCGTGAATTGAGTGCCTCAAACGCGCGTAACGGGTGCACCAGAGATCAACGCTATGCTGACAGGGCAGTTGACAGTGCCGCAAGCCATTGCATTGGAACAAGAGCCTTTGAAATGGGTTCCGCCGAGGGTGTGTCCATGTGGCGGTGCGAAATGAATAAAGATACCTCGGGTAGTGTATGTCGGTATATTAATGGTCCGCTGGGAACCGGTTGCTTACTCCCGACAGCCTGGGGCGTGAAAGCCGCCTAATTGCCCTGACGGAACTGGTCCGAAGCTCCATTCGGCACCAGTGCTTGATACCGTCAACGTTGCGCCTTAAATTGAATGGACGACGATGGTGATGGCCTACAACGCTGGCGATAGCAAGCGGCGCGACGCTACTGTCATAGTGTCCTTGCGCTTCTCCGCCGGAAATTTAATCATGACTCACCTCTAGTGTCCCAAACCACGAAATGCCCTCGAGAGCTCATCGCGATTATCAAAAAGGCTTTGCCGGAAAAATAGGATGGGGGCAGAGGCCGGCGCTGCTACTTGTCGATGTTTGTAACGCCTACTGGAGCGACGCCAGTCCATTGGACACCAAATCGAACCCTGCGTCTGCGGCGGCGCCCGCGTCCATCGCAAAACTCGTCGCTGCCGCACGCCAAGGCAAGGTGCCGTTGATCTGGACGCGAGTCGAATACACGGAACCAGACATGTCGGATGCAGGACTTTTCTACAGCAAAGTACCGCTACTGAAGCTGTTCCAGACCGGCTGCGGCAACGGCCTTGAAAAATGGATTCCGGGACTAGAGCCTGCTGCTGGCGAAGTCGTTGTCTGCAAGCGTTACCCGTCCGCCTTCTTCGCGACCGACCTCGCTACACAGCTCCAGCTCTTCAACGTCGATACTGTCATAATCTGTGGCGTCAGTACAAGTGGTTGTGTGCGCGCGACTGCTCTTGACGCGATGTGTTATGGGTTTCGACCGATGGTGTGGACCGACTTGGCAACACATGAGTCGCTGTAAACGTCACTAACAATTTCACCAGGTCGTTGAAGAAGCATGTGGTGACAAGTCCCCTGCTGTCCACGATGCGAACATTGCCGATATCAACGCGAAGATGGCTGATGTCGTTTTTGAGGATGAGGCAATCGAGAAACTGGAGGCTGGATGGCAGTGAGTGTACTGCGCCGCAGAACCCGTCCCAAGGAGTGCAGCTCTGGCCGCTTTCTGCGAGTCGTTCGTAGTCGCTCACGGTCTGTTCAAGCTTGCCTCAGTGATGGCGAGCGGGCACACCAAGAACGATATATGGACATAGCAAGCACCACAAGTCCAAATGGTACATATACAATTATTGGGTATACCTGCAACTCAAGCTATGTATAGACATGACCAAACGACGCACGATTCGTAGAACGTAGTCCCAGTATCTGGCCTCAAGGGAGAGCCTGAAGCGTGGCACAGTGGTGGGTTCTTTCTCATTTTCCCGCCTTGCTTTGCAATTGCACACGTTGGGAATTGATTCCACTTCGACCAGCAAACGTTTCTTCACACTTTACTTTATCTCACTGTCTATCTTCAGGACGTACCACACTTTCACTTGAAATTGCTCACATCACTAGCCGACGAAGCCTACCCACGACTGTCCACCCCTAGAGCGTATTTACGCGTTTGCTATCGAACACATAGTCACATTCCCTGGATTCACCTTTCAGGCTATGGTAACTTGGGAGGCGACAAGAGACTATAACTAGCTCAACAATACCAATAGCTTCTCAACCCTGCCGAGAAGATCTCTCAAACACTACCACGAAAGCGATCTCTAGCATGTCTCAAGAAAAAGCAATCTACCCGATATTGCATCACACTCCCGATCCTGGTGCAGAATCGATACCCAACTGTCTGTGGGAATGCTACAGGTGCAGAAGAAGATGAGAGACAAAAGAGCTCGGCAACATGTGCATCGATTGCAGTAATAAGTACTGTATTGATTGCTGCCAACTTGCCGATTAGTTGAT